TCAACCCACCACAAAGGTGATCAGCAAGGCAGTGTAATTCTACCTGCCTTGGCTAATAAGTAGTGGGCTGACAGACAGATGAGCTTAGTTCTTGGAGAAAGCAATAATCACCCTGGAATCATACTTTCTGCAGTACCTCAGTGTAGGAACAATTACATTTCTGTTATGTTATGGATGAACAGATGCCAAAGGGAAACAGATGGACTTGCATGCTTTCTGAACCCTGCCAATGTGCTATATGAAATCAGTGATGCTTGTTCTGGAGTCCAGCCTCCTTTGGCTGTCATGCTCTAGCCACTAAGAGTTTGACTGTTTGCACCACAGATGCGTAGTGAGGTGCATATAATGCATGGGAAAATGAGAGAAGAACAGAGGGTGGAGGGAGCCCCTTCTACTGTCCAGCTACTCAATTTTGCCTACTTCCCCCTGTGAGGGACATACGCCCCTGAGTACTATATATGACAGGTAGGGTCAAGCTTACATCTGTGGTTCGTAAATATTAACTCCTTTCTGACCTCGTTTGTAAGCGTATGAGAGAGTGAGTGGATAAAACTCTGTCTCAACTTTGTTCTCTCAAGCACGGGGATTGTCTCTGCTTAGTGCGTATTTCTCTACATGTAGCATCTGTTTGTAGTTGAACTGCAGTGGCCTTGCCTGCTGTTCAAGAGCTCAGATTTTCTGCTGGTATTACACATTTGCAAATTGTGTAAGTTAAAATGATAGGAAGAAGCAACAACACTTTGTTGCTGTTTTAAGCCTTTTACTAACTGATTTGTTCTTTTATCTTGTGACTGCTCTGACAGGAGGCAGGGAATTATCTGAGTGTTAACTGGCATTGATAACACTGCAGGGCTGATTCTCAACCAGAAATACTAGACCTTTTCTTTCCATCTCAATATTTGGAGAATAAATCATATAATATTACTCATGGTAATTGTTCTCACTTGAAGAGGTTGAAATTACTGTGGTTTTTATCCAACAAATCAGGATAGCTAATAGAGTGTATATGTATATATGTAATAATAATAATATGGAAGATATAAAAAATGCGATCTAGAAAATTCTGGTTTGATTGGTCTTAAAAGAATGAAAACAGGAAAAAAAAATCTTTGCATAGTTATAAAGATACATTCTGAAGAACAATTAAGTTTAAAATTGGAGGGTAATCAATAGTTTCTTCAATAAGCTTAACATCAGTAAATGTCTGATGTTCCCTTCCTATTAAAGTCACTTTGATGCAGCATCAAAGTAAAATGATGTTTTGTTATGGGACACCATGATACTTCACCATAGTCAGATAGAAGTATGGTGTCCTGGTTTTGGCTGGGATAGCGTTAATTTCCTTCCTAGTAGTGGGTATAGTGCTGTGTTTTGGATTTAGGATGAGAATGATGTTGATAACACACTGATGTTGTGGTTGTTGCTGGGCAATGTTTACACCAAGTCAAGGACTTTTTGGCTTCTCATACCCAGCGAAGAGGGTGAGGGTGCACAAGAAGCTGGGAGGGGACACGGCCAGGAGACCTGACCCCAGCTGGCCAAAGGGATATTCCAGACCATATGACATGATGCTCAATATATAACTGGGGGGGAAGCTGGCCAGGGATTGGGACCACAGCTCGCGAGCTAGCTGGGTGTTGGTGGTCTGCAGGTGGTAAGCAATTGTGCTGTGCATCACTTGTTGTTATCATCATCATCTTCATCTTCCTTTTCTGTCATATTAAACTGTATCTCAACCCATGAATTTTACCTTTTTTTTTTTTGTATTCTCTCCCTCCATCCCACTGTGGGGGGCGGGTGTGAGCAAACGGCCATGTGGTTGTCTTAGCTGCCTGATGGGTTAAACCATGACATATGGACATGCAGCCTCTCTAACCAATGCAGTGGCTTATACACAAAGCTGAGGAAGCTTTCCTAAAGCGCTTGGATTTTAACAGGTATACAAAGGATTATGCAAATAGAGAGGGATGGATTTTTTTGAAGAAATCACTTTGCAGAAAGGATTTAAAAGCATTTTGATCTGCAGATTTTTTTTCTACAGAACTACGTATCCATGGGAAGATCTTTGCGCTCACTGTCTTTCCCTGAGCTATGAATTGACTGACTGATGTGAACCCAATTCTAATCATATCTAGAAAGGCCATATCCAGCTCTTTTATAAACAGGTGCAGCACTTCTGATTATACTTCTGGAGTTGAATCTATGGTGCAGTGGATTTCTGTTCAGCTCTAAATCTATTAGTAGATCTGCTTCTGTTCATCTTTCCATATCTCCTTGTTGTATTTATCATATTGTTTCAGCAATTTGTGCATAATGGTTAAAAATGTATTGAAAATTAAATTTAAACACTTCATACTGACTTCCTTTGTATTGAATCATCCCTCTGAATGCCAGAAAAGACATGATGAAGCCAGGCTTCTGGTTTCTCAAGAGGGAGACAAGCTGGTGTTCAGGAGTCCTTTGACTAAATAGATCACATTTTATCTTTTGTGATTTTCTGTTACTAGCCATGAAGGAGACTGTTGGTACTCAGTCTCTTTTGTAGAGCAACTCTCTATTTACTATTCATACTTCTTCATTTTTTCACCAGCTGTTTTATCTGCTTGAAGTCCCTAACAGGATTTCAGGGTTATCTTCTTGTCAAACCGTACTCTTTAATTTTCAAGTCCTGCATATACAACAAAATAGACAAGATGTATGTTGTCCAGATGAACTGTGATATTTATTATATCATCTTATTGTCATTACCAGTGTCAGCAATTCAAATTAAATAAGATTAAATTGGTCTTAATTATAAAGAGGATATTTTTCCTTTAAAAATGAAATGTATTTGCCTAAAAAGTTAGTGGAGAATTCACTGTAAAAATGCTTACCAAATGTCTCATATGAATTCTCTAATTCCTTCTGGTTATTTGTTAATATCATAACCTTTGCCACTTTTGTAATTATTAATGTAGTTACCAAGGTAAGCCAAGCCATGTGGTAAGTTAAAACCACCATTATGGTTTAGTATTATTTCCAGTACAGTCTGTGTGGTGCGCATTGAAATCTAATTCTTAATTAATTTTATAAACATTACTATGACAACTGAGAAATACTGCGATTTTGAGCTGTCATACGTTCCTCCTAATCTTTGGAGTATAAGCTGTTAATCTTTGTATTTTTATCTGGTGAGGAAGAAAGGAAGAAATTTCTCTCATCCTTATCATCCAGAGATGGAAGACACGGAATCTAAATCAGAACTGTCTTGCCATATATCTGCACACATTAGATCTGAATTTGGTCTAGTCTGACAACCTGACAGAAACCACCGTGTGTGACAAATGTGCTGCAGAACAGAAATAGAAACCCATCCCAAACTGCACAGAGCACAGCTGTATTCTCTCCCTCATATCCCAACTGGGCAAATTGCAGTAAGAGCACTTTAGAAACATTAAATCACTGAATGATTCAGGCTGATCAAAACTTTACTGATCTCTGAAGAAGGTAACTGAAACAAGCAGTTAGTCCTGTAAGCTCAGCTCACATTTGCAGACAAAAAGTCTAAGCAAGCCCAAGCTCAGAGACGCTCCAGGACAACCTTTACTATTGTAAACACAGAGCAACCATTTCTTCAGATTCTGCCCAGGTCAATCCCACATGTTACAGTTTCAGGCTTTCTCCCCACCTTCCTCTAAAATGGATTTTTTTTTTTCCTTACTTATACGTTCCCCTGTATTTCTACCATAGATTGAGATTATATCCACAGATGCCACTAAACTTGTGATTCCAGCTCAGGTGCTCAAATTTGTTACCTATCATCATCAACATCGTCAAGAAATGACTTCTAAAGTATCTTCAATTCTCAAAGCATGTGCTTGATAGCCCTGTTTCCAGACTGTACGTGATTAAGGGAGTTTCTAAACCAGTGCAAAGCAGAAGTCCATTTGAAAAAGAACAGTCACCTGCTAGAAATAATTTTTGCAGCGTGTCAGATTTCTGTACTCAGAATGATTCAAGTCCGTTCTGATTTGAAATAATTCATGAGACCATAGGCTTAAAAGACTGCCAAAAATGAACCCTAGAGGGAAGTACAGGTTAATTAGAAATACTCTGGCCCATGCTAGAGAAAAACAGATCTGAGGACATAGGCAATCTGTTTGGCATTGACAGATAATAGTTTGGGCATCAAGAATATTTATAAAGAAGGTCTGGAATACAAGCAATACAAGAAGCCTCTTCCAGACTGGCTTTACTTTAAGGTCTGCTCTGAGAGCTCTCAGGGAAATTATTCTTGAGAGAAGACTCCAGTGGGCTCAGTACTGTAGCATCTTATGAGATGCCTTGAAGTGCTGGTTTTGAAGTCTCTGCAGTCTGGTGGAGATAGGCGTAACAAACCCCTGTGTTTCAAATTAAAAACCAAGTACGTTTAATACATATTAAACCACATGTTTTAGTAGAAGGGTTCACTATTAGAACAAACTGCACAGACAATTGGTGGATCACTAGAAGCTTTTAAATAAAACCTACCTGCCTTTAGAGAGCGCATAGTATATTATACCGCAAGAAAAACTAGATGCCTTTCTATGACTTGGATTATACAGGGGATCAGGCTAGGTAAGTGTTCCTATATGACTTTAAAAATCTACAAGAAAGAAGGGTGAAGGATCAAGATAGTGCTATTCAAAGTTGTTGCATGTTAGGCATGGTGATGTATCCGTAACGGAGACTGGGAAGGTTCAAATTACATATCCCTCTAGCTTCAAAAGTCTCCACAGAAATATTGAAAGTGAATACCATAACATAATTCTATTCAGCAGGCAGGATATAAAATACTAATTAATGATAACCTTTCGTTTCTTATTGGCAGATCTGCAGTGGAAGTCTGGGCATATGGCAGAGAGTCTAACAAATATGCCTCGTCACTCCCTTTACATCATAATTGGGGCTCTCTGCGTAGCCTTTGTCCTGATGCTGATCATTCTGATTGTGGGAATATGTCGCATCAGCCGCATTGAATATCAAGGCTCTTCCAGGCCAGCCTATGAAGAATTTTACAACTGTAGAAGCATTGACAGTGAATTCAGTAGTGCAATTGCTTCTATCCGACATGCCAGGTTTGTTCTGGGGATGGTAAATTAAAAGAAATCTGTTACGGTACATAATTTCAGTCCATGCGCAGTGCATCTAACTGCTGTTGGCAGAGAATGGGCTGCCTCGCTGTGAAAAGACAGGATCACCAACGTTGCCTGTTGTTCTTTTTGATCCCTATTCTGTTCTCATCTGAAGTGTGATAATCCAGCACAACTCCTTGAAAACAGAGGGAGTTATTCTGAATTTATTTGGTGTAACTGGTGAAAAGGGACAGATGCAGAACTCTTAGCCTGTAAGATCTTCTGTTTGGGGTGTAAATACTTTTTAACTGATAGACACAATTTGATTAGATAGCAAAACCACATTGATTTTTTGTGACTAATTTACCAGATTATTTAGTGAGACTCTCTTCAAATCACTCATTTTTGTGTTCCCGTTTGCGTCAAAATGAGGATCGATCTTACGCGCTTTCCTAGAGATAGTAGCCTTTTAAGTTTATATTTTAACGGAGCACTTGTAAGCCAGGGCACTGGGTGCCAGAATAATACAAAAGTAGGACTGGAAGGGATTCAAGACCTCAAGTGCTAGGCATTGCACTGATGTAGCATTAGTTATACCTAGCTCCTTGCTAACATTTGTCTTTAAAAACCTCCAAAGGAGTTGAACAGAGTTAGAAAGAACTTTCCAACCTGGATTTTATTTGATATGAATTAGGCCATTTCCTTCTTAATGCTCCTCAGGTTATGATGAAGCATAATTTATCCTGATTCCCTTTACAGTAATCATGTACATCAGGTGCCCCCCCCCTTTTTTTTTTTAATAATAAAACCAAGCCAAGCAAACCAACCTTTTTCTTCCCTAGACTAAACTAACCCATTCTTTCAGTATCTCCTCCTGGATCATGTCAGCTTCTTATTATCTCCCTGGGACACACTCTGGAATGTGTCTCTTTTTTTTTTAAAGGGTGGTCCACAAAACTTGAAATACAGCGGAAGCTTTACCTGTACTACATGAACTGAGTAATCATCTCCTATCTTATTTATGACATTCCTGTTCATACATCTGAAAATGAAACCTGCTTTTTTTAAAAAAAAAGAAGAGATTTGCATTACACTAGCAACTGATGATTTAACTTTGTGACCTATTAGATTTTTTCCTAACCCCAAGATGTTTTGTGCCATTTTGCTTCCTAGTCAGTGCTGTTTCCTCTGTATTTGACATCTCTCTTAATAGGGTAGAACTTTCATTTCTGTTGTTTCTTTTTCCCATTTCTTGGATTTGTCAAGATCACTTCAAATTCCAGCAAGAATGTTTGTGTACGTTACCGTGAAAATGCTTTTAAAAGAATGGAAGGAGACGCATTTCTGTGCATTGACACGGAGAAATGCATACATATTGCTTGGTGATTGCTGGTAATTCATTTTCCAAATACTCCAGTTTTGTTTCAGTGCAAATTAAATAGGTTAATTTGTACCACTGCTGAAGTCATCTAAGTTATCTGAAATGGATGAGGAGTTCCCGCATGCTCAGTTAATCACATCGCAGCTTTGGGCAGTAGCTCTTTAAACTGTTCCTACTAGATTTACAATGAAACATTTGCTCATTGTCAAAATATATTAATCAGTAAATATTTTAAAAAGAAAGACGTGTATAGTTGATTTAACATAGCAATAAAATCAGTGTTATTTTAAATCTTCCCTTGAAGTCTCCTTTGCTACTTAGCCTTACATGTCTTCCAGTAGGAGCTCAGCATCTCCACACCGTACGCACCCCGAGAACTCCTTTTTCCTTTAGTAGTGTAGTGGGAGAGAAAGGAGTTGCTTTATGGCCCATAAAAACCTTTATTTTTTTTATTATTTGGCCTTCTGAATGTCTACTGTTATGTACTACACATCTCCAAGGGTGGAGAGCAAGGTGCAAAAGGATACTGTTAATCTTTCAAATTAAACACCTCCCTCCTACTACTGCTGCAGTGCTGAACGTGTCGATCCTGCTCGATGAAGTGGTACTTTGCACTTCCCTGCTGGAACTGGTCTCCTGAGGAACACTGTGCAACACCTGGGTTTTCTTACTTATTTCTTAAAGCAAATTTGGCAGCTTTCTATCTAAGGCTACCAAGGAAAAGTGTACCAGCAAGCAGGATCTTTCTAATCTGAATTTTCCCAGAATTTTTTTTTTTTTTTACATTTTCACCAGAAGGTAATGAAAATGGTAGAAGATTTTCTGTATGAAACCTTTCAAATCTTGGAAGCCAAGTTAGTTCAGGTCTTTATTACTACCGTCTGGCTTACTCCAAATGAATCTTCATTTATTACTGAAGGCAGAAGTTTATAAAGTTTTTATCAGGGTTAACTAACCTCCAGAGAAGTTCTTAGACTGGAATATATTCATGATGATTTTTCAGATCCATATTATGCAGTTAAAAATTACATTATTGGAACTTGTCAGTAAAGAGTTTCCCTATCTTGGGAAAGGTATTCCTGCTTAATGCAAATGAAAATAAATGTTTTCTTTCCGAATAATTCTCTCAGAGAATGGATGCCTTATGAAAATCCAAGATAGAGCTGCCAAGTCAGGTAATTCACAGAGGTTTAGTGTGAAGATTATTGGGTTTATTTTGGTTTCAGGAAGATATAAACCACTGCTTTGGTCATTTCAATCAGGAAAAGGAGCACAACTTTTACAGTTATTTTTGCAGAAGCTCTTACATCTGCATGTTAAAAATACCAAGGTTTGAATTTTCTGAATTTTTGTATTTGAGAGACCTACTTTCAAATAATAGATTCTCAGCATCTTTTGAAATTGTTCCCTTTCCCTGTTAGATACCCAAACTCATTAGTAATTTGGGAAAATGTAGACCTAAGTAAAAGTAGATTATTTTCTTTAAATTTAAGGTTTCTGTTAAAGTCAGTAGGTGTCCAGGGAGCGTGGATGCTTGTTGCATATTCAATAAATTATCTTAAAATTACTTGTTCATGTTTCTCAGCAGGTCTTTTTCTTGATTTTTTTTTTTTTTATAATTTGATTGTTACTCATCAAGGTACTTGCTGTAAGAGAAAACAAATATCCTCAAGGATCATTACTCACAAATGTCTACTTCTAGTGAATGTTCTTAGGATTAGCAGATCACAATTAGACAGTTTGCTAACAAGATGGAGCACAGCTCTCTTTAGTATTCATTATGCAGACAGTAAATAAATACTCCTTTTATGTTGAAGCTTACACATTTTAAAGCCAGAAGAGAACACTGTAATGAAATAGTTGACCACTGGCTACTGCAGCCATAAGACTTCACTGAATTGGAACCAGGGTCTGTTGTTGGAACTGGATTGTTCACTTTAGAAAAGCATCCGCAATGAATTCACAAAATATCTGGATACAGAGACTGTACTACTTTGTGTATCTTCCTGCACTACTAACAATGCAGTTTCTTTAATTTTAACTTTCGTGTGCTGACTCTTGTTCTGTGTATGTGTGGGCTGAAGAGTCTGGTTCATCAGATTAAGTCATCTTGTCACAGCGGGGTAAGCTTCTCTCCACTGCACGTTCTCCACGTTCCTGTGTTCGAGTTGGCTTTGTTAGACAGCAACATCCTAAGCTTCCTGAATCTGATGAGCTTCAGCACATGCTGGTTTCTGACCATTTCCTGACATAGGTTTCAGTGATGAGTTTCAGTCAGCTACCTCTGTGAAAGTATGATCACATGCACAAGTACTGTGGTCTCTACAGCACATACCAATTGCTTGGTCCTCTGCCAGAGTCTCAACTTTGTGGGAACTCTAGGATTATAGATCAATTATACTAAGGAATGCAAAATACCGCTTGTGCACATGGCCTTTTCTCTGAATAATGCAGAGGAAATTATTCTTCTTGTTATTCTCCTCCTGTGGAGGCAAAAATAATCCTTTCCTCCTATAGGAATGCTCTTTTTTTTTATTTAATTCTAGTCTCTCTCTTTTCCTTCTCTTCTTTAAACTTTATTTGTGGACTGCTTATACCAGATGCTGTTTTTGAAAAGAGTAGCAACACGTGGTTTCTTTCTTCAGCTTCTGGGGAAACTCTGAACTCCAGCCTATCCCACAGAAGCTGGAGGATACCATTTCCTCAGGGTTCAGCCATCCAGTGTTCTCAGAAGTCTTCTACTTGAATGGAATTGTTGAGGTTAATGACCTTCTATGGTTGGCCATCTTTTGAAATGTCCTTCTAAGTAAGTGGAGGGGCAATCCCATTCCATATGTGAAGTAGAATTTGCAGTCTCTCACATATATATATATACACACACACACACGCATGGAGCTGCCTGTGCCAAGAAGAATTCCTACGCTGAATATATACTGTCCCCAAAATTGTTATGTAGCCCCTGGTCTCTCTTTGTCAAGTTACACGGGTTGCTCTTATTCAATGTTTCATTGCAAAATATATTTTCTCATTCTCATGTCATTTACCTGACTTTGTGATGATTCCTATGCCACTGGTAAGGATCTCTGAGATACACATAGGAACGCTAGCATCACTCATGAATGGACACATCAATGCTAAACATAGAGACCATGGAACTTCCCTAGTTCTACTGATAAACTCTATTTACCTATCTAAGCACATAATTGTTCCTCAGACACAGTACAGCGTTAAAGCTAATGTTAAACAGATTATCCATCATGTTTCTCCTGTTTTTTTCCAGACTCGGTGCTTCCCAAGGTTGAGATTGCCCCATCCGGCGTACACTCTTTGTTAGATGAATAATCTTGTATTGATTTGCACTGGAGAAATCTTTTTTCATTTGTTTGTATGCGCTTTTTTTGTAAGCAGCCTCTTCATTGATCCAGTACACCCTGTAGCAGGGACCTGTGTCTTTTCACTATTACCCTTGAATCACTGTATCTTGCAGATTGTATTGGTAATTGGTTTATGGTTTATGTTATGAATTAAATGATAAAATTAGCATCCTTGTGCAATCCTACTAGATACACGCCCATTGAACTAAGATTTCCAATTTAACAATTGTGTTTTGAGACCTCCAAGGTTTGTGTTAACTCTGTTTAGTGTTACGAGCAGGGACTGGCTTCTGAACTGCCTGATCAAAGCACTGTGGTCTACCAGCTGGATGGCTCAGCCAGGCCACAAACAGCTAGCACATGTGCTGTGGTCTTTTCTCAGCGTTTGCTAATTAGGGGCACATGTCAACCCTGACCTACACAAGAGAACAGATTTTGTACTGTTTCACCATGTGCAACAAGCCATGTGTTCCCTACCTGTCAGAAAGGGCAAAATTTGATTTAAATCACTGGAGAATGTTCATCATCATTTGTATCTATGAAGTAGCTCTATTTCCTTTAAAGCCTTGAGAATGATGGAGAAAAAGGATGATTCAGGATTCATTGCTTCCTCTGATTTAGTAAGATGCCATAACTTGATTCCTTCACTTGATTCTTGGAATTTTATCTCATTTACAGAAAATCAGGTTTATCCCTCATGAAGCTGATGAGTGAATGTGGCCTGTCTGTATTTATTAAACTACAGAAGAAAGCAGACATTCATGCATAGAAATTTATCTAGTATGGTCTTATTCACAGCTGAAGTCCTTTGAAAAATGAAATTTCCACTGTATAGATCATAATGCTTCCAGCCATTTTAGTTTTGTCAACAATTCTAGATCACTTGAAACCAGCCAAGAATTAAATGGGAACAATCGGGAAGTTGCATAAAAACCTTGGAAGAAAATCAAGTTAATTTTGTTCCAAATATTATCTCAAAATCTGAATTCTCTGAATCTCACCTTCCAGTGTGCACAACTTAAATTAATATAGACTTAATATGGTACATAAGAAGGAGATAAAAACATTCCTTTGTGTAGATCACTACATAAATAAGTCTTCCTGTTTCTTCATTAATATTTTCTCTGCATTAGGTCCATAAGGAAAGCAGACTTGACCCTTTTATGCCTCATTTTCCCATCATCCTTTTTGTTATTTAAAGCTCCTGTAATTGTGGTCAAACCACTTCAGTAATTTTTTTACTTTCGGGTTGCATTTTTAGCACTGTTTTTGTGTCTTAATAAATGATCAGAAGGGTGATAGATTGTTTATGCAGTGCAAAGGCACCAGAAGGAGTTCTGGATGTGCCAGCACTGGGGCCACAACGATGCAGCCACAGCGACTCTCTGCACACGCAGGTACCGCCTGTGCTGGTCGCCCAGGAGGAGCACGCTGCTGGTGGGCTTCTGTTGCTTGTGAACCTTTGCTAGATTAGTGTGTTCACGTGGCGTTGCAACTGCCATTAATGTTTTTCAGCGTTGCAAATAGCGCGCAGCATGTTGATAATTTAAATAATATGCTTTCCAAGTGGATCTCAGGTGAGCAAAGATTTCAAGTTCATTTTTTAAAAGCTTCATCTACAGCTTATAACTCAATTCAGTGCACAACTATTGCATTTCCAAATGCAAATGTCACATAGCTGTCTTTTATTTATTTTTTGTAAATATATATGACCTGACCTTAATATTGGTTGTTAGAGCAGGCTCTAAAGTAAAATTAGGGCCTCGCTAAAACTGTGTATCAGGTTTGCTCTTGCCTTCCTTATCTTTCCGTATTCTGACACTGCTGAATTCTGCAGCAGAATTCCTGTAGCCTTTGGTATGAATCTGTTTCTTGTTTGCAAGAAGGTTTTAATGGATCTTCTTTTAATTTGATGCTTTCTTTTGTTTCCAGGTTTGGCAAGAAATCCCGACCTGCGATGTATGATGCAACTCCCATTGCTTATGAAGATTACAGCCCAGACGACAAACCTTTGGTTACACTGATTAAGACAAAAGATTTGTAATCTAGTGTATCTTTTTTTGGATTATTTTTCAAAAGGATGGGCTACTAACCTAATTTAAATATTTTTAAGAAGAAAGCATAAATAAGTAATTTAAACCATTAGATGCTTCAGAATTTTCTGTAGAATATTTAAGAACCAATTTTCTGCAGCTTTTAGTTTGGAAAAATATTTTAAAACAGAATTTGTGAACTTCATTAATTACATTTTAATGTACCTTGGGCTCTATAAACTATAAGCTTATGATAGTGTGTGCTTTTTTTTGGTAGACACTATTACTAAACCCAGATAAGTTTCTTGTGGTCGTTACAGAACAGAAAACAATAATTAATGAGGAGTTCTTTATGACATGTCAGTGCCAGCTTTCTCAGTAGAGGTAGGAAAAATGTGAAGCATAATATGATATATAATATATCCATTAATTAAAAAAGTCTAAAATGTTTGTGTTGTGAAAAAGAAACTAGTAAAAATTATTATTCCTAATCTGAATGAATTAGCTTTTGCCTTATTCCATGCATGGATAGATAATCTTTTCCTCCATTATTTCCTGAAAGTTGCTGAAACATACTCTTGAGTTGATGTTTGACATTTTTGTAATAGTATTCAGGCTCGGCCTTGTATAATAATTAAAGTGCCTCTTGAGGCAAAGTAAGGGCATGATCCTTTAAACATTGAAATCAATGAGAGAACTTCCATTGACTTCAGTGGGCATGGGATTGGACTCTACAATTGGACTGAATCTATATTTTTCTTTAAAGGTTAAAGTTTTTTATATTGTGAGTAAACTAAGCATATGGTTTGAGTTGTTTGTTTCCTAAAAGTTGTTGATGTACGGTATCGTTTCACGAAATATTGTGTATTCCTCATAGTGCTTCTTATTTAGGATAAGTATGGGGGTTTTGTGGCTGTATTTGATTGCTTATGGGCTTCTTAAAATTCTTGCTTATTTGAGAAAATATTGAATAAATGTTATCGAGTGAAGATTGCAGCTGTTTCTTTGGGTTTTTTTTCATTTGAAAGTGCAGTGTTCTCTATAAATTTGAAAGGACATGAGCATATAATGTGCTATAAATAAACTGTGCTGAAATAAGATATTCCAACTTAATTTGAAAAGGAAAAAATGGGCTTTCTTATCAAGGTAATCTCTCAAAAGTGAGACAAATGCAGCACTGGAGTAATGATGCAGTCCTGCAGTCCAGGCCATATGCACCGCAACCAGTTCCTGAGTGGATCTGACTTCAAATCTGGGCACTAAGTTACAGGAAGAGTAAGGTTTTGTCACAGAACAACTTGTTTATGTGAGTAGGCTTGATCTGATTGTGTGTTTCAGAGGCCTGCCACTGAGGAAGCCAAGACTGTGTGGTATAGAGGCAAACTGCTGTAGCTACCTATAGATGCTGCTGCGTGATGGTGTGCTAGGTCCAGTCAGCACTGTTATATTCCAGGCTGATAAGCACTGAAGGGCTAAGCTCTGGTTGACCTCTTAATGTTGGGAAATCTTGGAATTAATCCAAAATCTTCATATTTCACATAAATAACATTTCCAGACAGAAAAAAGATGTCCTCAGGAAAACACAAACTTCCGATCACCCCTGCCTGAGGGCAGACGTTGTCTCAGGCAGTCCTTCCCTTTCCTTGCTACTGCTGACATGTCCAAGCCTCAGATGAGCCTCTAAAGACAAACGTAATTAGGAATTGTAAAGATAAGAAAACTGCCACTGGTTTTACTGTCTGGTTTAGGTGGGCAGAGTGCATCTGGTATATTACTTTTAATTTTGAATTTCATAATTATTACTGCTTCTGGTTACAGTCATAACAATTGAATTATTTTCCACATCTTGCACAATTAGTGCTGACAAGAGGTAGACAAATTATTGTAAATCAAGCTGTGTTGCTAAAAATGTAAATTTTATTGTGAGGTTACATTCTAGTTCATCATTAAAAAAAAAAAGAGTATATGCAGCAGATACGGGCTAGATTTGAAATGCGTAAAGGAAAGCAAATGAAAATATCTTTTAGAAGAAGTGTTACCTGCTGAAGGGAGGCACTGCTCAAAGAGACTCTTACTGTTAGGAACGGCTGGATGGTGAACGTGCAGGTTAGTAACACCATGCTCTGTTTGAATTATGGAAATGCCAAATGCATCTCAGAAATCCAGAATACCTTTCCTGATATCCTGTGTGTGCTGCCACGGGCTTTCAATGACATTGGCCCAAGACAATAATTACTAGTAAATAAAAAATTACTAGATAATTACTAGTAAAAAACCTGTGCGTTTGCATCTGGTGGCTGCCAGACTAGCTTTCTGTGTTGGTACAGTTTGCTGCTGCTGCTTTACTCCAGGTATGGAAACTTTTGTTTATGGTGACTTCCAAGTAACTCCCAGGAATGTTTTAAGAACCCCTTAGAAAGAAGGGCCAGGAAGAAGCTTATACCCTATGCTGTTTTTTTGTAACTTGTGTGGAACAGGGGCAAATACATTGGTGTTATAATTGATTTGTTAGTCAGATAGCAAAGAAATACTCATTCTTCAGAGTTTTTGTCCTTTTCAGTGGCAAAATATTGGTTTATCTTTGAAGATCTACAAATCTATATAAAGCATAGAAATGAGCAACTCTGTTGTTCTAGGGAACATACATATTCATAGTCCATATTTTACAAGAGAGACGTTGCAATGAGCAGCAGCCCTTCTGCATACAAATCGCACCTCTGTAGTGATTCTTGACCATCCTGTATTTCTCTCAAGTGACTGACCTGAAAGATAAGTAATTTGTGAGCAGCTATTTTCCTGTCAGCTTGCAGCCTTTAGCTTCTGTAAATCATCCTGTGCTTCCTATGAATTGTGCTTTGAAAATTACTTTTGCTCCTTCCAATTTATTTTATTGAACTCCGCTGGCATGTTACGCATGCACTATGCCTGTATCCGTGCACTTCTGAGCCATTTGTGAGGCACTGCACCACCTGCCAGATGGAGCAGCCCTCAGACCTGGAGGGAACTAACCCATCCTGAGCGCTGAAGCTGCTAGAACAAGTTGGTTACTGTCATTATATGCCAGATCATGTCTTTCTGAGGATATACATGAATGTGGACAAAGGACACTGGTTATTCCGATCCTTTTCCCAAACTAGAGCGGGTTTGTTCTGCATAGGGAGCAAATATAAATGTATAGCAAATACCACCTTCTGTAAATATACACGTGTTTGTACCCCAGCAATGGGCTAACAGCCTGCAGAGTCTCCAGGCTTCTCATTATCCTCCAGTACTTGTGTGCTCCCCAAGTTTGGCTCTTTTTTCTTCCTCTTCCCTCTGGAAATAGGAGAACATCCCTGAGTGCTTTTTCCCCAGCAGCATGGACACCTGTTCTTGCATGCTTCTTTGGGTGGCGTGAAACGTGCAGTTACAGCTCAGAATTTCGATACATGTGCTAACAGGAAAATGTCATGATTTACATGGATTCTGGATGGAGTCAGTCCCAAATGATGAAGATAGTGACCCTGTTCGTGTGGTTGGGCTAAATGCAGTATGATATAAATACAAGACCCAATGTGCCTGTTGAGCACAACAGCTAGAAAATGCACGTTGACTAAAACCATACAAATTATCCCCATTAAAACCTACAGATGCAACCCTAACTTTAGCTGAGAAAAATTAGACCGTTGCCACAGCCTCAGCCTCTTTTTGCATCTTGTCTCTAGGAGATGCTTTGGGCATTTGCATGCTGCCAGTGTTGGCTCTAGAGATGACATGCAGCCGAACCCTTGGTGAGAAGCCTTGGTCTCCCACCAGGACCAGTTTTCAGTAGCAGACCTTGTACTCAGGAAGAAGCTGGATCTCCATGCTCCCTAACTCTAACATGCTTCATCTTCTTCCAAATACATGGGGAAAAACAGTGGTGTTGAGGGGTGCAGGTAGCTTGTGAAGGAGGCAAGGTTTTCCTGCCAGCGAGGAAGGCAGCGTCCCCATCACGAGGGCTCGTTGTAGTGTGCTGTGTTGCGGTGTGCTGCTCCTTGGGCAAGGGGACCCGGCCTTTCTGCTGCCGGAGAAGGCTGCTGAGTGCAGAACCACCTGTCCGCTTTAGAGATTCATTTTAAACTCCGCTGATGTGTCCCTGTGCCGGGTGTGCAGTGCCAGCCCGGGCCGGGCAGGCGGCAGCAGAGGCGCTGCCATGAACCTGCACTGGGAGCAGGAGGTGGCACTGCTGGAACAGCAGGAGATGGCACTGCGGTTCCCCATGTTGTGGCCGGCAGCCCCTTGGCTCTTGCCCTCCTGCTATTCTGGTGAAGCAGAGGACAAAAGGCCTGGGGACGCGGTCCTGACCTGGCCTGAGGAGCCTGTGGGAACTCTCTTTTTATTCTCAGTCTACTCTGTTTCTGTTAGCAGATTAATCAAATGGACTTGGAAGGAGCCTAACAGCCAGGGACGTAGGCAGAGCTCGGGGGAGGCACGGGTGGTTTATGAGTAGTTGGAAGGAGACCTGAGGCACCCCCTGACATGGTTAACCCTGTGCGTTGTCAGTCCAGGCTGGGTAATGTCCTGCACCAAAGCCACTGGTCTGATTTTGTGGTTATTCCCTCTACTGCAAAGGTAGCCAACTGGTACGCTGGTGTGAGGGAAATGAGAACTGAGAAGAGTTTTAAACTCAGTAAAGTGCATCTTCAAATGGCAGAAGTCTCTATATGCTTAATCCCTTTGAAAACAATAGGAGTTTGAAGAAGATATTTGTGATTGTGGGGGAAAATGTTTTGGTGTCTCCCTGCATCTGAAAATATAAAAAAATCTGACCATAGGTGTACAGCACTACAGCAAACATAGCTTGCTTCATTGAAGTCTCCTGCGGTGAAACTTCAATCACAGCATTGATGTTTTCATCCTATCTCAGCTTCATTTCTGGAGACGGCTTGGTTTTCTCCAGCAGGGCTTTGCTGAGAAATGCCTGAGCAGATATGACATTCCTGAAGACATATAGTTTCTCTTCTGATAACAATAGATCATGGACCTCTTTTTCCTGCTTGAACATAGGAGGCAGATGAAAACTGGTTTAATTCAGGGAAGGGTTTAGTCTCTCAGGCAATTCCCTGCTATGGATAGTTAAAATAATGATGTATTATCAGGACCTAATGAGTCCAGATACATTCCTAACATAAGAAATTGGAGCATCAGGGCAGCCCAGTGTGTGCCCACACCCTCTCTTCAAACCTTTTGGCTATTGCGAGAGATGCACCAGGTTATGGCTTTCAGGCACCTTTTATTTCATAACAAAAAAGTGAGTGTGAGGGATTGTTTGTTTGTTTAAAATATGCCTTATCTCTCAGAGTCTATTACCTGTGTGAAATGCTCTGCACAAGGTTAGAAGTGAGAGAAGGGCAAAGCATTTAGTGAGTGCCAAATGAGATATGGAGCTGATCTGCTCTATCTCCTCTTTGCCAGTTTGTCCTCCATTCCCTGAGACTGGCTGAGTATCCGCCCAAACACTGTAGTTGTGTGGGGTCAGGAGGGATGGCATAAGGCAAATTTGACTCTGAGCCACATCTATGTCCATCTTAAAGGTCTCATCAGGGAGATGTGACTATCTTGAGTCTGAAATCAGAGCAATCAGAATACTGCTGCTACCTGAAATAGCTGGAGATTGTTAGGAAGATGGGCAGGGTACAATGTGCTCTCAGCTCCCACCAGCTCCTTCTCAGTCTGACATGCTGGTCAGTGGAGGGGGCTCGCTCAGAAGTTGTCTTTGTACTTCTGGACTCTTTCCTCTCTGCTTGCGCTAGAGGTGAACTTGTGCAACCTCTCACCCTCTGTGGGATCCAGCATCTGAATCCTTTGTATCCTTTTTCCCCCTCATATTTTGGAAGAGCTCCAATTAGGTGAAGGTGATTCCTTCTGATGGGAAATGGGTTGACCAGTGGAAACAAATAAAACTTCAAAGTGGTTATGCCACATCCAGCCCCATCTGGGCTCAGCTGGCTCCATTCCTTCTACAGTGCAAAACT